CTGGCTTGTTTTGAAAGAGGCTAAAATACTTTAAAAAGAGAAAAATTGCGAATTAATATATTCGTCCTTGAATGGTTTAACACATAATATGAGCGGACAGTTTGCTCACTGCTCCGATTTTTCCTCGCCAATGAGGGAGCTCAGAAAAATACTACGTAACTTGCAAAAATATCCGCGCATACTGTACTATCGAATGCACCGAATAAGGTGTTCATACAATGCAAAATTTTGCCAAAATCAACATCAACCCCTTCCCTCTTTAACTATCTGTGTTCCCTCCTTACTGATTTTTACCCATCAATAGACGTGATTTTTCTATATTTCAATGTTTGACAAAGTTTTATCATGCGCTACACAAATCCTCAGGGTTAGTTGCGTGACGCAGCGATGTCGAACGACGTGACACGAGAAGGTTGGCAAGTCTAGGGTAATTTTAGCCATCAAAATAGCGCGCTCACGTGATATCCCTGTGACAAGTCACAACACTTTAAAAGCTGAAGCAACCTTTCAGTTTTGCACCAACTCCAAGCAACATGCCATATACCTCGAGTGCCTCACTTTGCTTGATATTCACTGTTGTTCTTGGACTAACTAACTGCTGCCATGCTTCGCTGCGATTACTCCGTGGCCGACCGAAAGGTGGCATGTTAGTTGCTCCTGCAGCAGAACACGTGAATCAAAAGCTTCCTGAAGCACATTGGTTTACTCAGAGGTTGGATCACTTTGATGACTCCAATACAAAAACTTGGCAGCAGAGATTCTTTTATAACGACACCTTCCACGCGAAACCAGATGGACCGGTTTTCGTTATGATCGGTGGAGAAGGAACGGCGAACCCTATATGGCTGACTGTGGGGGATATGATGAAGAATGCTGAAGACTTTGGTGCTTTTACCTTCCTTTTGGAGCATAGATTTTACGGCGAAAGTCACCCAACGAGGTGAGTAAGCGAGGGAAGAACATTTGCAGGATTGTGTACACTTTTGATTAACTGTAAACAAATAGTGAAGTATTTATGTACCAAGGTCTTTACCCCTTTACACACTTATATCAGTGTGCATATTCTCCATAGTTTTCTCCATACATTTCCTAAGGTTCTGACATGGAGAATTTGTTTAACAGTCAAGAGCTTCTTTAGTTAGTGATCATAAGCTTTTTTCTTGTGACCTTAATGTGTGATTCAGGGGTGATATTGTAAGGAGAAGTTAGATGCTAATCACTTTAAGAGTTAAAGGACTTGAAAGGAGGAAAATGACGGTCATGAAAAACAAGCAAAGAAGTATTCTTGCAGGTGGACTGCAATTTCAGCAATTGCAAAAAAAAAAGCTTGGAAAAATTGAGACTTTGACAGGATTTAATTAAATTAACTTCATGCCTCTCAGACACTAGCAGGGCACCACTACCAACTGAGCCACAAAGCCATACTTTGGGAGAGTGGGGAAAATTTTTAGAGGGTTCTTCTTTCCCATCAAGGAAACTGATAACAGAAAAAGGATGGTAAAAGATAAAGTCTGCACTCAAGCATAGTGGTCTATCTCATCAAGGTTTATCTGGATCCTGAATTGTGAAGTGACCAGGTGAATAGCCACTCCCCCCTGGATTAGATGTCAGTCCATCGTAGATTATCCCTCCCCCCTCCCCCCAGTCAGTAATTTTTGGGGCTTCCTGAGTGGAGAGAGATACTACAAGATTAAAATCTCTTGCCCACTAATACATCACCATGACTTGAAATGGTAGTCATCTGGACCTCTCTTCCTAGTTTACAGCACACTGACTTGCACAGCTGATACCTACCAGGAAGTGAGGGGAAATTTGAACAGCCTAATCATAAATTGGTTTGGGTTTTCTTATAAGCAGGCCTTGAGCATGTAGCTTGTTGGCCATGTCCCATGTAGGCCTTGAGGGAGGGGCAGAGGTGGTATATCTCTCAAAACTGAAAGATTAACTCTTTAACTCTCAGAAATGATCAACATGAAACTTCTCCCCAGAATATCCTTATATCATCCAAGAGACAGGTAATGAGAATATTCAAACTTACGTACTCTTTAGGAAAGTAAGGGTGCATTGGGGTCATTTGAGGGGGATGCTTGTATGAAGTTATTGTTAGGGGGGTGGGTGCTTATTTGGGGGATGGAGCATATTAGAGAACAAAGAAATACAGTATCCACTCAACTTTTTTGATTGAAACACAAAATGCGGATGCAAGGGCCTCCCTACCTGAAAACTAAACATGGACCGCTCTCTACACTGTAACTGGCTTTGGGCAATTTTACCCTCACCTGAAAAATTATCAAAAAAGCCACTGATGCAAATTTTTTTCTCCATTTTTCCAGTGATATGAGTGATTCAAGCCTTAAGTATCTAAATAGTGAACAAGCATTGGCGGATCTGGCAACATTTTGTCAGGAAATGGCTTTGAAGTTTAATCTGACAAACAGCAAATGGATATCATTTGGTGGCTCATACCCTGGGTCATTATCAGCCTGGTACAGACTCAAGTATCCGCATCTGGTGCAGGGTGGGTAGACTGTTTCATTGGGTAAGTTAGTATTATCAACTGAGTTCATAACGTAAATTGGCCTCTTTTAAGAGTTTCAAAGCTGGCATTTTATAGGTTAGCCCTTTGTCAGAGCCCTTTGCTCTAATGAAGGGATAATGCTCTATAATAATGCAAAACTTCAGCTTTAAAACTCTCTATGGTAGCCAATTTACACTTTCGACTTATTGATAATACTTAACTGCCCTGTTGTCCTCTCCCACTGACACAGCACCACACTTTCTTTAGAAACTTACCCCCTTTATTCAGACTGTTTTACTGTCATTACTGAATTTATATGATAAAACCATAACTAATAAAATGTAATCACATTGTTATGTTTGCATTGAGCAAAAAATTGGCAAACTAGAAGAAGCTTGTGATAACAATGGACTAAGTCAAGTCATTTCAGAAGTCTCTGGACAAATTACTAAGTTAATCGAAACTATAACAAAATTCTTGACCATAATTTGTTTCAAAAGGTTTGCCAGAAAGAAGAGTGGTTAGCTGTCTTTATATCATACTTGTCAGAGTATGCATAGATCTGAAACATCACCATCATTTTAACATATCTCCATCTACACCTACCCATTTACCAACGAGAACATGCACCATGCCTCAGTTGGTCATTTAGACAAATTGATTGTGATCCACATATTTTAACCACTTTCTGAATTTTAACAAGTAAGTGAATTATTTCTGTCATGTGTACATGTATTTTGCATTTTCTTTTGTAGGGGCTGTTGCTTCAAGTGCTCCTGTCTTTGCCACAGTCAACTTTCCTCAATACATGGATGTTGTTACTGCCTCACTTGAAACAACAGGTCAAGACTGTGTGAGAAATATTGATAATGCAACAAAAACAATGCAGACATTACTAACCACTGAGGAAGGTGCAAAACAACTCACAGAGCTATTTGAGTGAGTAAATTTCCTGTTTTTGGATTTTTTGTCATGATTTCATTTTCATTACTGACGATATCTGAGCATGGACTAAGCCTTGAACATGCTTAACTTGCAGTAATTTTCATTTTGTTCCAAATTTGAAACAGTAAGTTAGGATAGTATGGGTGACTTTTGTGTGAAACTTTCAAAGGAACCACTGTTCACTGTCCACTGTCAGCCACTCAGCAACCTTGTTTTGAGTTATTTCTGACACAGACATGACAAAATTACAAACACTTGTTGTCATGTATATTTGCTGTAACTTCCCATAATAAGCATCAGTGATTATACAAAATATTTGGTTTATGACCCTATAAACTGTATTCAATTACCTTGACCCCTTAACTC